TTTTTTTTTTTGTTTTTTTTCACTAAAAGACAAATTGATTACAAAACCAAAAAAAAATAAATTCAAACAAAATATCACATCAAACCCCATAATCATTTCACTTTTTCTCTCACAAACATCACATTCAACTAAACCCAACTATCTTTTCAAACACAAAAAAAAAAATTTCTCCAACAATATCCTACAACTAAAAAAACCTACAAAAAAAACCCACTTCTCAAACACCCACATATAACTTTTCTTAGTTTTGATTAATTTATTGACTTATAAACTGCAATATAAAGAATTTTAAGCAGGGAAGACCAAAGCCAATGTAACAGTCTAGAAATAGTTGTACTTTGGGACTTCCAAGTAAAGATTTTACAGCTGAGTTGGCCAATGTTTTGACCTTACGTATTATGTATTAATCAAATGTTAAGTAACTTTCCAAATCTATTTATTCATAGCTCAATATTTAACCATTATTAGCACCATAGGTTAGTGATAATAACTATTGATAACTCATTGGTTGTAGGGAAGCTGTTTCTTTATAACAAAATTATTCTTAGGTTTATCTCCAAAACATTCTAATATGAACCACTACCAATGCGATCTTTTTTTAGAAAAAAAAAATAATAATATAAATTATTATCATATAAAACCTTGTACTTTAAGTTAAACCAAATAATTTATCTTTAAACTAAGTTTGATAAACCAAGTCTCCCTTCCTTTTTCAACACATTTTTTGGGAGTTTGCTTAAAAATTGTCTTATTGATTTTAAAAGATAAATTTAGAATATTGATTTAAAAGTTTGACTTCAAAACTAAGTATTTGGCACATTCATATTTTTGACATGGGTATGGCTTCTGTCCAGTCCGGAATCGGATTAGACCGTCTTGTTGGACCCGTGGTGGCCCACCATGGGTCCCGTTATGATAATCTAAACCGTTCAATGTGTAGAACTCGTCGAGTACTATATGCTTGTAAAAAATCACGTTAATCGGATATCGATAGCTATATGATCAAATCAATTTCGTATTAAAAAAATTGAACGGTAAATAAATTAACGGTTGACAAAAAACTGTTTTGATCACATAGCTATCGATATCCGATTAATGTGATTTTTTACAGACATATAGTATTCGACCATTTCTTCACATTGAACAGTTCAGATTATCAAAACGGGACCCGTGGTGGGCTCCCACGAGCCCAACAACACGGTCCAGTCTGATCCCGGACTGGACAGAAGCCATACCCTTTTGACATTTGGTGAAAAAGTAGTAAAAAAATTAGATTGTTTAATACATTCATATTTTTGACTTAATTTTTTTTTTTCTTTCAACCAGTTGTTTGACCAGTTCTAAAATTTGAATAACAAAGGCTGTGCTTGATTGTGCTTTTAAAATGTGATTCTACATGCTAGTTTCAGCTCCATATTTGGTAAGAGTTTTAGAATTAATTTTCCAAAACTCTGCCGAAAGCTCTGTCCATTCTGCGCGTTTCTTGTAATTTTTTTTGGCTAGGGGAAGACCGCCCGGTCGTCCCTAGGGACTACCACCCGGACGTCCTTGGGGACATCCAGCCGGATGTCCTCTATTGTACAGATTTTTTTTATTTTTTATTTTTTTGCAATTGATTTATATAATTGGGAAAAATATTTTTTGAAATTTTTTTAATTTTTAATGCGCTTTAAAATAATTTTGAGTTGTATGTTTAGTTAGGAGTTATAAATTTTTGTATCACATATCAAATATCACATCAACAATTCCCCACTCAAATCAAACCTCTTTTCCAAAACTATTTTCAAAACTTTTTACCAAACAAATTTTCTACACTCAAATCATAATTCTACAACACACAAACTCAAAATACAACTCATACTCTCAAATTACATTTACAAAACACAACCAAACGCAACCAAAATGTTTTATAAAAACACCATTCATTGACTATTAATTAATTCCAATAGTAATACTAGTTGCCCTGTAATGACCAAGACAAGACACCACACAATAGTAATAGAGGTTGACATAATCATGTGATCTCAAAAAGTATGTCAAAAAGGAGAATATACAAAGCTGTGATGTTTTATATTTCTATTCGATTACATGGAGCTTATATTTCATTTGCAATGAATATTTTTTTTTCTAAGAGTGTATTTCACATTCAATAATTATTAATCTGCTTTTTCATTCAATAAAATTGTTCAAAATTATCAAACGATTTTACTCATTCATCAAATCATCTAAAAATTTAAATAAAATATAACAAACGCTTCACGTTTGCATCTATTGCTAACATTTTTTAAGTTTTGTCACTTTTTTTTCCAATAATGTCCATATTGTTAAATGTTAATAACTATTAATTTTTTAAAATTCAACCCATTTTCTTTGTTCATCAAATCATGAAAATGACAAACAATAATGTTAAACACAAAAAATATATGAATGAGTAAGATTTTACAAGATTTAATTGTGAGGTTGACTTCTACAAAATCCAATCAATTTATTTGTTTTCTATGTCTAATTTTATTTTTATTTTCTAAATTCGTAGACAAATTGAATTATAATATGCATCTCATTTGCACCAACTATTTATATATATAATAAAAAGAGAGCACATGCATATGAGTGTACAGTTACAAAAGAGTAATTAAAGAAGGATAATTGCTATTAAAATATTTTTAAATATATATATATATATATAACAGTCACACCAATTTGAATATTGACTTGATATAATAGTATAAATTAATATATACTCTCAACTCTTACAATTATTATGTAAGACTTTTTTTTTGTTTTTCTGTTGAGATTTCAATGTTGTCCATGAAAGAGGATCATCATCAAAATTCCAACTGTCTTAACTCTCAAACATCAATAATGGGGGGTGGTTTGTATTGTACATTCACCTACACAACTCTACACTACACTACACATGGT